TTAAATGCTCTCACATACGTGCGGGTCACGTCGCCCTCGACCGCGAACCTTCCCACAGAACACTGTTGATCAGTTGTACAAGATGCCAATTAAACAAGTTCGTGTGCAAACAGCGACCTTCCGTCTCAACATCTCATATACCGATTCACTGATCAACTTTGCTGTGCCTGAAGATTCTGTCCATGTACAGAACGCAGCCTTGGGGAGGGACACCAGTGCCATCACGCCATTTACTCTGACGCAGCGCCTGTTATCAGAATACAGTGATCGGATGGCCTGGGCAACTGGCTACCGATGTTCGCAGGCACGCCTACAAACTGTCGCGCCGGATCCGTTCATAGGATTTCTCTAGCTCAACAAGCATGTTCACACCGGATGGACTCCCACGATTTCTCAACAATCTGGAGTAAGGTAAATATATGGTCGAAGGTGCTTCGATCGGATCGGAAGCCACACTGCTCTTGTATCTTGCAATCAGTTATTCCACGGCACCTCCTTTATAGTACCTTGGCGTAGACTTTACCTCGGAGGTTCAATAACGTAATGCCTCTATAGTTTGAGCACTCCCCGTGGTCTCCTTTCTTGAATACGGATACAATAACTACCGTTCTCCAATCCGCTTGTGTCTTTCCCGCAATCGTCGCAGTTTGACACACACATGTAAGCCAGCACATGCCTTGTTCGCCTAATACCTTGAGCATTTCAGGGCGGATTTCATCAATTCCAGCAGCCTTTCCACTTTCCAGCATATCACAGCTTGTGTAATTTCATCTACAGAAATGGTAATATCCATCTCCCGCTCTTTTACAGACAAGTCTTCCTGCGATCGCGCGGAGTTAAGGAGTTCCTGAAAGTACTCTCCATCACCGAAGAAGGTCATCATCCTTGGTATAAGAGTGTTTAGACCTGTCCTTCAAGATTCTTGGACTGCCCTTCTTTTTACCTTAGAGCCGGCGTAGTCTACCAGAATCCCTCATTTACGTGTGAAAATTCCAATTCCTAACCGAACTTGTCCCAGGTATCAGGTTTGGCGTTCGCCACCGCTTTCGCTGCCACCTTGCGCGTTTCGATATGCCACATGCGAGTAGAAGGATCTTTGCTTCCGAACCATTTCTTGAATGCAGCCTTTTTCTTTTTAACTACCGACTGCACCTCTCATATCCACCGGGAAGTTCTTTTCTGACCGGGCGTCAGACCAACCCGTTCGAACCGCAGCATTCGGCGGCAATCCGTAGCACGCCGCTCCGAAACAGCTCGCACTAAGTTTCCATATTTGCGGTCATCTTCGAGATCTGTTCAAACCGTAGTGCAGTGTTGTTTGCAAGTTTCTCGCTTGTACCCACCGAAGATAATGATTCCTGTTTGATTCTCTGGTTGCTTCTGCCACCGGATTGTCGCTCGCTGCTTCGTTTCCCACAGCGTGCCTTGCTAACAACAAGATGATGATCGGTTGGCAGCTCTGTGAGTCTCTCAACGCGAATATCTATTACTGAGCGTCTTAAGTCAGACGAAACAATTATTAAGTCGATGATCAACTTCTGTCACAAGCTTCCTTGTACCAGGTATACTGATGCACGCTTCTTTGCTCGATGAAGATGTTCTTTATAGTCCGTTGCTTGCGCAAAATCACAGCAACTTCATGCCGCTATTGTTGAGGTCGCTAGGGCCGTTCGTGACAATTGCGTCTTTTCACTTTACAACGTCTACTGCGACATGCGCATTAAAATCGCCCATCAGTATGAGGGACTCTGTATTCGGCACTTCAGACAGAGCACACTGCATTTCCTCAAGGAAGGTCTCATATTCTCCTTCCAAATTGGGCGCATACGCTTGTACTCAGGTCAACGCTTTAGCCTGTTGTAGCTTCAGTAGGAGAATTGCCGCCCTTCCGCTGATAGGTACCCACTGAGTGATTCAATCAGCGAGGTTAGGTTCTACCAGAACACCAACACTGGCCTCAACGCGCATCGTGATATCGACACCTGAGTAGAATAGCTTCCACCCGTTGAGGTTCAAGAGTCCAGGGCCTTGACGCTTCGTTGACGAGAGTCAATGTCGAGTTGGTACTTTATGGCCTCATCAACTAACTCTAGTTCTTTCCTTCTTAGTGAGGATATATTCCAATTTCTGACTGTGAGCTGTCACTGGCGGTGTCGTTCTCGTGAAGCCTTTTCTGATATGATATAATCGCATCGCGGTGTCTGCCTCCTCCGTTCAGAACGGGTAGCGACTCCGTAGCTGACTGATATTTTCGTCGTCGTTACGTCGGTCTTCCTCAACCGTCGTTGTGTTTCTACGGCCCCGTCTGGCAGACGTCAGTGTGCAGGTTCTGATCACTGACTTTTCGGAGTCTGCCTTACACCCCGAACAGCCTGCATGGCCGCTGGTAACCCGGTCGACGACCGAGCCGATATAATTGTTGAGGACGTCATTGCCATGAAGAAGAGTTGGGCAAGTTTTACGGAGACTTTACCACGGTTTTCAATCCTCCTCCTTTCTGAACCGGGCTTTGGTATCGGCATTGGCATAGTTTCTAAATTGCTAATTAAGACTTATATAAATCAGTTGTCTCAAGAAAGCGTAAGCTGTGTCGCTTCTCACTGAATCCGACGGCAGGCAAACTTGATACGGCATCAAACCACTGTGCAACTCTAAATCGCCGACTCTTCCTTCTTCGGTCAATTTGGAAGCAATGGCAATCAATTAATCAAGTAATCAATCAATTCTTCCTGAGGAACGAATGGCCTGGTGTTTGAGACTCGACAAAGATTCGCCGTCCAGACATGTTCAGCATTTGGCGCTCTCTCGCGATCCAAACTTGGTCTAACAAAATTAGATAGGAGTATACTTCGCTGGTTAGGTTACTACTTTACCATCAGAAAAGAGTCTTTAGGAGGTAACAAGCAGAAAAGATCTTCCTTCGAAAATGCACAGCTGAGGGAGGACTAGACCCTACAGCAACTCGTCCTCAGGAGCCCAGGAATGGCAAAACTATGATCCGAGGTCGCTCGTAGAATACATGAAAATATATCCACTGAGTCAAGGCGAAGCTGCATTGAAGGATAAACCTTGTTTCTACACTTCTTAGGAATACTGACGCTAGAGGTTCAACGGTGGTAGGACATAGCACCGTTAAGAACCTTGTTATCCACTCGCAATCCAGGACCATAATTGGAAACAAAGGCAATCTGGAGAAACGGAATTTAATGTCGTGATAGCGGAACAAGCCGGTAACGAAATGAATGGAGGGAAGAGACTTCACAAAATTAACT